TCAATGCAATACCCCATTAACAATTGCTTTTAAAATTTATCTAAATACATAATAAGTTAATTGTTGATAATAAAATTGGTAGTTGTAACTTATTGAGTTATGTTGTCTCACACTTTTTTTGTATTCTATTTCAAGTTAGAGGAAGCAGAAACAGCTAATTGAGTAGTTGTAATCCAAGATTCTGATATGTCTAAGTTTGTATAAGTATTACTAACTTTATTATTTTTGTACAATCATTGGTATTTATTTATTTTCCCTATTCTAGTCATTAGTCATGCACTGTAATGTACAAGTGTTATTATATATGCAATTTTTTATGATGAATGAAAAGAAAGACAAGAAATTTTAAATGACTTTATTTTTTTGCTTACAAGAAGTAACTAGTTGCTTTGTAATTTGTTTAAATTAAAGAAATAAAAAAAAAATCTCCTAAACTTCAATCTCGAATTTTGTCTATCAACATTCAATATGATATGACACGTCATATCTTTGGATTATAGGATTGGGTTGCTACACCGCCAAGGCACAAAATTATTGATACAACCTTCCCCACCTCCATTGAAGTAAGTATCTATCATGAATCTCTTTATGGCAGGTTTTTCAAGAAGGCTTGCCCTAAGTACATCTGCAATGGGTGAAGGTGTTAGGGATCTTACCGTAAATCAATATTATCGTAATATATTTTTTATTGAATTAAATATTTAAAGGTGAGTTTAGCATGTATGAATATTATCATTTAATATATTATTTTATCATTATATTTATTCATAATTATTTATATAACCATAATTCAATATATAATTATTTAAAAGATGATTAAATTATGGATAAAAATCTAAACAAATTCATAATTATTAATTACAGTTGGAATCTATAATTAAATATTGTTAATATGATCCATCAACACTAAGAATTGAATAGTCTTATCTGGATTATTCAATATGAATATATTAAGGATTTTGGTACTTTATATAATATTATTATATAGAATTGGACTAGATTAATTTTGAATTCTCTCGTAAATTCTATTTAACTAGAGAGATTTTGAAATTAATCATCAACAAGATCATATATAAAATAATCTTAATCCTGAGTTATTAATAAACTTCTATTTGTGACATTTGGTTTTTTTATTTACTCAGAAAAAGTTTGAAAAGAAATAAACTCAATCCTTGTATTTCAGAAACATAATGAAAAAAATGGCAGAGAATTTTAATATGCAGATATGGAATCCATTCCTTTCATTTTTGAAAGTTAGAAAATTAGTTCCCTTGAATAATTAATTCAGAACTTAAACAATTGAGTGCTCAAATTTTATGACGAGATCACAAAGTTTATTTTTCATTAGAGAATTAATTGGAATTCAAGGATCAAGATATATT